AATCTTAAGAAGTACAATTTGATGTCATCCTCTAAAAGTTCACCAATGCATTCGACAAGTTTCGTAAAAGATGGTCTAAAAATCGGGTTTTCCTCCCAACAACAAAGCATAATATCGTAGCTAAAAGAAAAATGAAAAGCGTACAATAATAGTTTCCAAATATAAGGTATCAAACTCAATAAAAAATTTGTTTTACATGTCTTTGGTGGCATAACTAGGACATCGCATGCGGTAGCCTTCGATGAGTTTTTGATACATTCTCTCGAACCCCATACCTAAGTAAGGTATTCCGGCTAGGGTGAAAAATTCCCATAAAACTACACCAAATGACCAAACATCTGACATAGTTGAAAAGACCCCGTCCCTCATAGATTCAATAGCCATCCACTTAACAGGAAACTGTCCTTCATGTTGCTTTTTATAGTTTTCATCCTTGTACAATGCCTTTGCCAAACCAAAATCACAAATTTTAAGAACATTGTATTCTGCTAGTAAAATATTTCTTGCAGCCAAGTCACAGTGTAACACCTGCGAATGCAGTTATAAGTATAAACTCTAATGATGAAGAATTGAACCTGCTAAAAAAAATAATTAATGTGTTATAAAATGTGTAATATTTTCAAGTTTAAAGAAATGCAGCTATTGGAAGCTGGTCTTGCGCATTTTGAAGAAGGAGCGCTTGATCTACTGATCCCAGAACAAACAGTAGATGATCAAGCAGAACTTCTTCCTTACAACAGAAGATGGGAGTTTTCTAGAGAAAAATTAAAATTAAAATTAGTGGAGCTTTTGGAGTTGTGTATAAGCAGAAGCTTGTGGAATTCTTACTGGAGAATCAGTTACAACAGTAGCTGTAAAAACAGTTCGCAAAAATTCAGATCTAATGTATATTAGTGCACTAGCAAAGGAGCTCAAAATTATGATTTATGTAGGACATCGCTTAAATATCATAAATCTTGTAGGTGCTTGCACTAAAAATATAACCAAACGTAAGAAATCACGTAAAACTGTAAAAACTACGTACAAAAGAAATTATTCAACCAAAAAATTAAATTATGTTTTAGGTGAACTTTTGATAATCGTCGAGCTCTGCAGATTTAGAAATCTGGAAAGTTATCTTGAGTGCCATCGAGAAAATTTTATCAATCAAATTGATCTGAATACGGATAAAATTAATCCACGGATAGGAAAAAATATGAGAAGGTATTAGTTTTACTTCTTACTAACATAACTTTTACAAAACAGAAAGAATGAATCTTGAGTGAATGACAAAAAGTAGTTTTACAAGAAAAAAACTAATAAGCCAAACCAAATAAAAACAGACAAAATATTTTGACCAATTATGAATAAGAATGAGTTACAAATTCTGATATGCTACCATACTTTCAACTTACAGGTCAAAACACAAGGCATTTGTCATTTCCGATTATATCAATACGGCTTCCGGCAATAACAAGACAAACAATGAGCCCATTATCTATATAACGACTCTGAGGCTCACAGCTTTGACGGTGAATCTAGTGATGATCTCAACAATGATGGCATCCAGCCAGGTTGGCGCTCTAATTATAGGGGGGACTACATAGAAAGTGATTTTGAGAATCTCTGCTCACAGGATCTTCTTTTATGGGCTTATCAGGTGGCAAATGGCATGGAGTATCTTTCCCAACGGAGAGTAAGTAGATAAGAGAATACAAGATTTCTTAATGACGTATTCTCGATTGTACATTAACTAATTAGAGTTTATACTTATAACTGCATTCGCAGGTGTTACACTGTGACTTGGCAGCAAGAAATATATTACTGGCAGAATACAATTTTGTTAAAATTTGCGATTTTGGTTTGGCAAAGGCATTGTACAAGGATGAAAACTATAAAAAGCAACATGAAGGACAGTTTCCTGTTAAGTGGATGGCTATTGAATCTATGAGGGACGGGGTCTTTTCAACTATGTCAGATGTTTGGTCATTTGGTGTAGTTTTATGAGCCGCCGTAGTTACCGATGCATAAACCGCTTTCACTCTCTGATATGAAGCTCAACTTCGATGTTATCGATCGAGCACGTTGAAACTGCAAGCGCTCTCAGAAGTAACGAAATCTTGGGAACGAAATCATGTTAAGCAGTGAGCTTAATGATTATTTTTAAGACAAAATATCTGGTTTCTGAATAAGCTTTGTAAAATTATATTTCTAAACTTTTTTGAAATTACATGAATGTTTAAAAGCTGCTGAATTAATTAGATTACATTGAATGACGCAGTTTTTTGTTACGATCAGAATACAGATAAAAAATTTAAACAATTTTTTCAACCACATGCCTCATTAGCTATAATATTGGCTTCGTATAATCTCGAGAAAGTAATTTGCCACAAAGCATGTATGTTATTATTACACATAAGAGTGAATTTCGATGTTTCCTTACGCTTCGGTTAGATTTTGACAGTCAATTAAAATCGAATGATATAACTTTCAGAAGTTTTGAACTACAAAAACATGTGAATCAACTTACAAAAAATATTGACTTATTTGTAAGATAAACAATTACTTAGCTAATTAGTAATAAGTTATTTCCAATGTTTTCTGTTCTTCGATCTCGTTTTCTCAGATGTTCCTTTGCTTACTTTTTCCTTTGTTAAACAGTAGAAAATAAATATTTACAAAGATATGTATTTAATACACTTTTATTACAAAAATAAAAAACATTAATAATTACCAATTTGAATGAGAAGTTGAATGACAAACATGTGCAAATATAAACGATATTAGCTCGACTTAATATTATCATTCTGTGCCTAAACTGCATTGATCAGCTTGTACGTAATATAAACGCCCTAGCAAATATTGTTTCTGACAAAAAACTAAAACTAAAACTAAAAATATGCTGACATACAAGAAACATAAAAAGTATTACTTATTAACTACCTTAGGTATCAATAAGGACGTTGATGTATGACGGGCTTGCGATTTGAGGAAAAGTATTACCGCAGTTATGCTAGCTTGAGAGAGATATTTTGTGATCTAGTGGTAAAATATCAGCTGCGTTGTCCTTTTTTTCTTCTGAGTGACTTGAAACATTCAAAAATTCATACTTGTTGTATAAATCTTAAGAAGTACAATTTGATGTCATCCTCTAAAAGTTCACCAATGCATTCGACAAGTTTCGTAAAAGATGGTCTAAAAATCGGGTTTTCCTCCCAACAACAAAGCATAATATCGTAGCTAAAAGAAAAATGAAAAGCGTACAATAATAGTTTCCAAATATAAGGTATCAAACTCAATAAAAAATTTGTTTTACATGTCTTTGGTGGCATAACTAGGACATCGCATGCGGTAGCCTTCGATGAGTTTTTGATACATTCTCTCGAACCCCATACCTAAGTAAGGTATTCCGGCTAGGGTGAAAAATTCCCATAAAACTACACCAAATGACCAAACATCTGACATAGTTGAAAAGACCCCGTCCCTCATAGATTCAATAGCCATCCACTTAACAGGAAACTGTCCTTCATGTTGCTTTTTATAGTTTTCATCCTTGTACAATGCCTTTGCCAAACCAAAATCACAAATTTTAAGAACATTGTATTCTGCTAGTAAAATATTTCTTGCAGCCAAGTCACAGTGTAACACCTGCGAATGCAGTTATAAGTATAAACTCTAATGATGAAGAATTGAACCTGCTAAAAAAAATAATTAATGTGTTATAAAATGTGTAATNCAAAGAGAATTAAGTTCCCAAAATAACATTAAAGACAAAAGTAGTAAGTCTTGAAAAATACACTTTTTTTGTATCAAACAATTTTACTTGCAATAACATTTTAACATTTGAGATGAAGGCAAATATCATTTTGAATCGACCAAAAACTCGTTATGCAATACATTGAAATTTTAACGCATGATGTAACTAAAAATTTTTTTTTTGATAATAAAAGTACCAGTCGTGCTTTGTACGTGCAAAAATCTAGTAACATCAAATCTGTTTCCATAATGTTTGTGTCTCTGATGGTTTCACGAATGAAAATATTATGTCCGTTTATGGATGGGACACTGAAGATACAGACTTGTAAGTAATTACGATCCCAAAGCGTCGAATTCAATTAGTCTCGATATCATTTATCACTTGTACTAGGGTGTCAACTGTGTTGGTAAAAAAATTCCTATAATGTACCGTACGAACAATCCAATATTCTCACTTAATCACGTAAATACAGTATTTTATCAAAGCTCAACTTTTGATAGATCGACTTTACGTGCATTTATAAACATATAATGAAGATGTACCGGTAATGAGTTGAAGAAATTAAAAAAATTTTCGTAAAACCCTTCATCAAAAGTAGTTAATACTTTTCTTAATTGTCTTTTTTTTTCCTGCATCTGATTTTCATAAAAACTTCCCGCACACTTTATTTTGTATATTTCAGTTTCTTGGATAACATGAGTGAATTAACGGGAACGGATACCGAAGCAAAAATAAGATTGAAAATAGAACGACTTGAGCTGTTACAATTTAAATAGTGGGATTTTAAGATTATATTGTAAAAATGAATTAACTGATTTTTTTTGGGTGATATTTTTTGACGTCATTCATGGGAAGCTGATCTTTAAAAAAATAAAAATTTAATGTTTAGAATAATTCTTCAAAATCTGATAGGTAATGCATTTTTGTCATGTTGGTGATATCATGCTAGTTATAAATCAAAAACCAATTCACGTGCAATTGGTCTACACCAAGCATGAAATAAGCACTAAAGTTTGTTTGGTAACTTTGTGAAAAGTACGAGAATCCAAATTTGTATTGATCTAAAAAAAAAAAAAAAATTGAAAAATTTTCTGGTGCAAATTTTAATGACAAGTTCGTAAAAAAATTACAAAAATAGTGAAACTGTAAATGTAAAATATGTTCATCAACATATCTTGAAAAATCCAATGTTATGGGAGATAAAGTTAAATAGCCACAGATAATATAAAAACCAATCTTTGCAATGAAATCCTATCTCTCAATATGCTGATCTTTTTTATTGGTATTGTATTGTTATGACTTGTGATAGAATAGTTTGATCTTGCAATGCAATGTGCAGTACATTATCTACTCGAGGCCCAGTGTATTCCGTAGACGAAAGCGTCACCGAGTGAACAAGGACAAAGCATGGATAAGTACCATCAAGTTTAATTAATTATAAAAAATTCACTAGTAAACGAACTGAGATCGGATGAAGTCAAATCTCAAACTTAGCTCGTCGCGCTCCCACACGACTTGATAGATTACTTTTTTTTATTGTCTACAACTTTTGTACTTAACTTTTTTCATCCAACAACTGATTTTCAAGATATTATCAATGAACGTATTTTACACTTACGCTCTTACTGTTTTCGAAAAACCTTTTATGACTATAAGCTCTTAAAATTTATATCAGCCGATTCGTAGAATTTTTACATATTTTTTGGATCAATTAAACTTTGGTTAAACATTTTTTCCGTTGAGTAGACTTTATATACTTGGTTTAATGAGTTGAATGTATTCAAGACACATTTGAAATTAGTATGCAATTTTAAAGAAAACGTTTCATGTTTTAGCTAACAACCCATTAACATTGATCGACGTTTATAATTTAAATTATTCGACAACGAAATTTACTGCCGAAAAATATATCATGATTTTTAACTAAAAGTTAAAGCAAAAGGTTTTACTGCATGCACTGTCAAACAATTGTTTAAATTCTTCTGAAATTTTACGGTGATAATAATCATTTACCACTACGGTGCCGTGGAAAATTTATGTTGTGTAAACACGACTACGTGCAATTAACCCGTAATAGGCGGAATCCAACGATCTGACTATCTTGAAACATTTGGTGTTATACTATGGAGTCTAATATATACTTAATTTGGGTAAAAAATGAAAAGGCTTGCAAAAGTTATTAACAATTTTTTTTCTTATTTCAAAATAATTATACATATTCAAAAATTCCATTCCACACGATGGTGTTTTTTATATGACCTAATACCTAATTACAATAGGATATCATATAACTGGTATAATGCCTTTTACCATGGCATGCAGATTTGCAGGTAATAGTAAAGAACATCGATGCCTCAGAAAAGGGAGGGCTAGTCATTACTCACTTACAATCATGTTAAGCAGTGAGCTTAATGATTATTTTTAAGACAAAATATCTGGTTTCTGAATAAGCTTTGTAAAATTATATTTCTAAACTTTTTTGAAATTACATGAATGTTTAAAAGCTGCTGAATTAATTAGATTACATTGAATGACGCAGTTTTTTGTTACGATCAGAATACAGATAAAAAATTTAAACAATTTTTTCAACCACATGCCTCATTAGCTATAATATTGGCTTCGTATAATCTCGAGAAAGTAATTTGCCACAAAGCATGTATGTTATTATTACACATAAGAGTGAATTTCGATGTTTCCTTACGCTTCGGTTAGATTTTGACAGTCAATTAAAATCGAATGATATAACTTTCAGAAGTTTTGAACTACAAAAACATGTGAATCAACTTACAAAAAATATTGACTTATTTGTAAGATAAACAATTACTTAGCTAATTAGTAATAAGTTATTTCCAATGTTTTCTGTTCTTCGATCTCGTTTTCTCAGATGTTCCTTTGCTTACTTTTTCCTTTGTTAAACAGTAGAAAATAAATATTTACAAAGATATGTATTTAATACACTTTTATTACAAAAATAAAAAACATTAATAATTACCAATTTGAATGAGAAGTTGAATGACAAACATGTGCAAATATAAACGATATTAGCTCGACTTAATATTATCATTCTGTGCCTAAACTGCATTGATCAGCTTGTACGTAATATAAACGCCCTAGCAAATATTGTTTCTGACAAAAAACTAAAACTAAAACTAAAAATATGCTGACATACAAGAAACATAAAAAGTATTACTTATTAACTACCTTAGGTATCAATAAGGACGTTGATGTATGACGGGCTTGCGATTTGAGGAAAAGTATTACCGCAGTTATGCTAGCTTGAGAGAGATATTTTGTGATCTAGTGGTAAAATATCAGCTGCGTTGTCCTTTTTTTCTTCTGAGTGACTTGAAACATTCAAAAATTCATACTTGTTGTATAAATCTTAAGAAGTACAATTTGATGTCATCCTCTAAAAGTTCACCAATGCATTCGACAAGTTTCGTAAAAGATGGTCTAAAAACTCTGATATGAAGCTCAACTTCGATGTTATCGATCGAGCACGTTGAAACTGCAAGCGCTCTCAGAAGTAACGAAATCTTGGGAACGAATAACGAATTTCCACACTGTAAAAAAATTTGATACTTATGCGGTAGCCTTCGATGAGTTTTTGATACATTCTCTCGAACCCCTTTCCTAAGTAAGGTATTCCGGCTAGGGTGAAAAATTCCCATAAAACTACACCAAATGACCAAACATCTGACATAGTTGAAAAGACCCCGTCCCTCATAGATTCAATAGCCATCCACTTAACAGGAAACTGTCCTTCATGTTGCTTTTTATAGTTTTCATCCTTGTACAATGCCTTTGCCAAACCAAAATCACAAATTTTAAGAACATTGTATTCTGCTAGTAAAATATTTCTTGCAGCCAAGTCACAGTGTAACACCTGCGAATGCAGTTATAAGTATAAACTCTAATGATGAAGAATTGAACCTGCTAAAAAAAATAATTAATGTGTTATAAAATGTGTAATATTTTCAAGTTTAAAGAAATGCAGCTATTGGAAGCTGGTCTTGCGCATTTTGAAGAAGGAGCGCTTGATCTACTGATCCCAGAACAAACAGTAGATGATCAAGCAGAACTTCTTCCTTACAACAGAAGATGGGAGTTTTCTAGAGAAAAATTAAAATTAAAATTAGTGGAGCTTTTGGAGTTGTGTATAAGCAGAAGCTTGTGGAATTCTTACTGGAGAATCAGTTACAACAGTAGCTGTAAAAACAGTTCGCAAAAATTCAGATCTAATGTATATTAGTGCACTAGCAAAGGAGCTCAAAATTATGATTTATGTAGGACATCGCTTAAATATCATAAATCTTGTAGGTGCTTGCACTAAAAATATAACCAAACGTAAGAAATCACGTAAAACTGTAAAAACTACGTACAAAAGAAATTATTCAACCAAAAAATTAAATTATGTTTTAGGTGAACTTTTGATAATCGTCGAGCTCTGCAGATTTAGAAATCTGGAAAGTTATCTTGAGTGCCATCGAGAAAATTTTATCAATCAAATTGATCTGAATACGGATAAAATTAATCCACGGATAGGAAAAAATATGAGAAGGTATTAGTTTTACTTCTTACTAACATAACTTTTACAAAACAGAAAGAATGAATCTTGAGTGAATGACAAAAAGTAGTTTTACAAGAAAAAAACTAATAAGCCAAACCAAACAAAAACAGACAAAATATTTTGACCAATTATGAATAAGAATGAGTTACAAATTCTGATATGCTACCATACTTTCAACTAACAGGTCAAAATACAAGGCATTTGTCATTTCCGATTATATCAATACGGCTTCCGGCAATAACAAGACAAACAATGAGCCCATTATCTATATAACGACTCTGAGGCTCACAGCTTTGACGGTGAATCTAGTGATGATCTCAACAATGATGGCATCCAGCCAGGTTGGCGCTCTAATTATAGGGGGGACTACATAGAAAGTGATTTTGAGAATCTCTGCTCACAGGATCTTCTTTTATGGGCTTATCAGGTGGCAAATGGCATGGAGTATCTTTCCCAACGGAGAGTAAGTAGATAAGAGAATACAAGATTTCTTAATGACGTATTCTCGATTGTACATTAACTAATTAGAGTTTATACTTATAACTGCATTCGCAGGTGTTACACTGTGACTTGGCAGCAAGAAATATATTACTGGCAGAATACAATTTTGTTAAAATTTGCGATTTTGGTTTGGCAAAGGCATTGTACAAGGATGAAAACTATAAAAAGCAACATGAAGGACAGTTTCCTGTTAAGTGGATGGCTATTGAATCTATGAGGGACGGGGTCTTTTCAACTATGTCAGATGTTTGGTCATTTGGTGTAGTTTTATGAGCCGCCGTAGTTACCGATGCATAAACCGCTTTCACTCTCTGATATGAAGCTCAACTTCGATGTTATCGATCGAGCACGTTGAAACTGCAAGCGCTCTCAGAAGTAACGAAATCTTGGGAACGAATAACGAACTTCCACACTGCAAAAAAATTTGATACTTTGGTGAATTGTAGATTAAGTATTAAACAATACGATTCTGAAAACATTTTTCATCTGACGTTGTAAGCAACTTTTTTAGGCCATTTTGCCAAAGTACTTTTTTTAAAACTAAAACATTAAATGATTCAGATTATTTAAGTTCAGACAAACTGTGGTACTCTCAAAATGTATAAATAGAGCTATTTCAACATAAATCTGGAACTGACCGGAATCTACAAGTTTTTTGTTTTCATCACCACACCAAAGTACCTCAGAATATTCTCGAATGACAGCAGTGCACACTAAAGAAATATTTGTTTTTGGTTTTATAATTCCATAAGATTTATTAGGGATTCCGTCTAAAAAAAAAACAAAGTGAGAAACATTGTATGACGAGAAATTTTTAATCTAAAACTTGAAAACAGTTGATTGCTAAAATGTATAAACCTGTGATGTGAATATCATGTTCCGTATCATCACATCCATAATCATTGCAAGCCGTGCACTTGACTTTTGACCTTACTTTAAGGATTACTGTAACTGTTGACTCATTTTTAGCATTGTTCGTTTGATTATTTGTTTCTATGTCTTTTATAAACTCTATCATAAATTAAATCATTACTATTTTTCATACGTTTGGTTATTATGCAATATGATAAATGTAAATCAATACCTGTAACTGGGATGTTTCATCAATTCCATGGAATAGCAATTCTGGGTAAATTTTGTAGCTCCACGATATATTAAATTTTGATATACTTTTAACATGGCAAACAAACGTCGCACTTTTGTTAACAGTGTAGTAACGATTAAGATACAACATATCAAATTCCACCGATGGCTTATCTGTAAACAAAAAATGAATACAAAGGGTTGTAATACAACAAGGGTGTTGCATTACAAATAAAAGGAAAAAATCACAAACTCGCAGAATTCTAACTTCTCTACCAGAGTACTAGTTCATACTTTTTTAATACAAATAACTTTCTGGCTTAATATGTATTAAAATAATACACAAAAATATATTTTGAGTGAGTTAATTAAAAATAAAATATCATTACGATAAGACTAGATGCATGACACCACAAATTTTGGATTCAACNTCCGTCTTTACATTTCAATACTAGTTGTAAGTTAAAGAGCTATGTATCAAAATATACATCATTAGAAAATATTTTTGATGATGTATTTTTATGTCCGGTCTTTGCTAATTTTAATTAAAATCTTTATATATCTTCATGAAATAATTTAATAAATCATTTTTCAGGTATGAATTCTTAACGCTAGATCAATTCAAATTCTCATATTTTATCAAAATTAATACAAAAATTCTTACTACCGACAATCAAGTAAAGCAGTGAGCTTAATACTTATTTGTTATTAATGACTATTTAAGTACGAGCAATCATAGCATGATTTTAAAATCGTTTTCGAATGAAATAATAAATGTTAAAATAATTAGTTAAACTACAAATGCAATCACTAATTTCCACACAAAATCACTGGTTTCTGACAAAGTTTTGTTTTATAAAATTTTAAAACTTTTTTTGGAATTACAGCATATGTTGAAAAAGTCTGCTGAATTAATTAGATTACATTGAATGACGCAGTTTTTGTTTCAATCAAAATACAGATAAAAATTTAAACAATTTTTTCAGCCACATGCCTCATTAGCTATAATAATGGCTTCGTATAATCTCAGCCAATGAAAGAGTGCCAATTGTAACTCCAGTGTTTTGTGCCGTATAAAAATAGAAGCGTTGCTCAACACGGTAAACTTTTACATTCAACATACTTGGATTTCTACAATTCTTCGTAGATCGTCACAAAAAAATTATGAAAATTTAAGTGAAACCTTTACATGCATGCAACGTTGTCGATTTAAAAAACGAAAGTGTGTTGAACATTATTGAAATCCCAAAATTTTTTTATACCTTATTTTTTCATCACATCACAAGAATGACTCTTCAAAATTTATATAAAAACGTGGGATGAAAATAATTTAAGAGAATATACAACATTGGATATTAGGCCACCACGTTGCTAGAAACTGTTACGTATTTAGATTTTCCTAATAGTTAGAATGACCCAAGTACTTATCCTAAGATTCTGTTTTACTTAAAAATTGGATGAACGTTAATCAAGTTGCTTTGCAATAGTGAGGCTTAATGTTTTTATTTTTCAGTGAGAAAAGGAATTGACTGCAAAAATTAACCGTAGATAGAAAAATATGTTTGATTTCAACCATTTTTCTGGTTATTTCTTACACAGGCACTAAACAAAATGTTTTTTCCCAGAAATACATTTAATAAAAGCCAATTAAATACAATTAATACAATAGAGCCTAATGACTCTTAGGACATGAAACAATTTTTATATCTAGCAAAGGAGCTCAAAATTATGATTTATGTAGGACATCGCTTAAATATCATAAATCTTGTAGGTGCTTGCACTAAAAATATACCCAAACGTAAGAAATCACGTAAAACTGTAAAAACTACGTACAAAAGAAATTATTCAACCAAAAAATTAAATTATGTTTTAGGTGAACTTTTGATAATCGTCGAGCTCTGCAGATTTAGAAATCTGGAAAGTTATCTTGAGTGCCATCGAGAAAATTTTATCAATCAAATTGATCTGAATACGGATAAAATTAATCCACGGATAGGAAAAAATATTAGAAGGTATTAGTATTATAAGTTAAAATTATCAACTCTTAGCAATAGAATTTTTAAGAATCATTGTCCAAAAATCGACTTACGACAAATTTTCATCAAACTTTGGGGATCGCTTAGCTATGNCCCCCCACCATTTTGCTGATAAGCTACATGTTTTAATAACCTGGCTGGAACCTTAATGGTTGTGTTTTTGAATGTGCTAGTAATAATTTTCAAGTATTTCATTAAAAAATTTCGAAATCATCTAATGCACAGTTAAAGCTCATAAGACTATCAATTTTCTATCAAATTCCACCGATGGCTTATCTGTAAACAAAAAATGAATACAAAGGGTTGTAATACAACAAGGGTGTTGCATTACAAATTAAAGGAAAAAATCACAAACTCGCAGAATTCTAACTTCTCTACCAGAGTACTAGTTCATATTTTTTTAATACAAATAACTTTCTGGGCTTAATATGTATTAAAATAATACACAAAAATATATTTTGACAAAAAAATTTGATACTTTGGTGAATTGTAGATTAAGTATTAAACAATACGATTCTGAAAACATTTTTCATCTGACGTTGTAAGCAACTTTTTTAGGCCATTTTGCCAAAGTACTTTTTTTAAAACTAAAACATTAAATGATTCAGATTATTTAAGTTCAGACAAACTGTGGTACTCTCAAAATGTATAAATAGAGCTATTTCAACATAAATCTGGAACTGACCGGAATCTACAAGTTTTTTGTTTTCATCACCACACCAAAGTACCTCAGAATATTCTCGAATGACAGCAGTGCACACTAAAGAAATATTTGTTTTTGGTTTTATAATTCCATAAGATTTATTAGGGATTCCGTCTAAAAAAAAAACAAAGTGAGAAACATTGTATGACGAGAAATTTTTAATCTAAAACTTGAAAACAGTTGATTGCTAAAATGTATAAACCTGTGATGTGAATATCATGTTCCGTATCATCACATCCATAATCATTGCAAGCCGTGCACTTGACTTTTGACCTTACTTTAAGGATTACTGTAACTGTTGACTCATTTTTAGCATTGTTCGTTTGATTATTTGTTTCTATGTCTTTTATAAACTCTATCATAAATTAAATCATTACTATTTTTCATACGTTTGGTTATTATGCAATATGATAAATGTAAATCAATACCTGTAACTGGGATGTTTCATCAATTCCATGGAATAGCAATTCTGGGTAAATTTTGTAGCTCCACGATATATTAAATTTTGATATACTTTTAACATGGCAAACAAACGTCGCACTTTTGTTAACAGTGTAGTAACGATTAAGATACAACATATCAAATTCCACCGATGGCTTATCTGTAAACAAAAAATGAATACAAAGGGTTGTAATACAACAAGGGTGTTGCATTACAAATAAAAGGAAAAAATCACAAACTCGCAGAATTCTAACTTCTCTACCAGAGTACTAGTTCATACTTTTTTAATACAAATAACTTTCTGGCTTAATATGTATTAAAATAATACACAAAAATATATTTTGAGTGAGTTAATTAAAAATAAAATATCATTACAAGACTAGATGCATGACACCACAAATTTTGGATTCAACGTAAAGTTAAATAATAAAAATACACTTGACCTATGATAGCTATAAAGGATCAGAGTATCAGAGTACTTAAAAAAAAGATTATTTTTTGATACTAGTGAAATCTATTGTATGAAGTGGAAAAAATTCAATGATTAAGCAGTCAATACTAGTTGTAAGTTAAAGAGCTATGTATCAAAATATACATCATTAGAAAATATTTTTGATGATGTATTTTTATGTCCGGTCTTTGCTAATTTTAATTAAAATCTTTATATATCTTCATGAAATAATTTAATAAATCATTTTTCAGGTATGAATTCTTAACGCTAGATCAATTCAAATTCTCATATTTTATCAAAATTAATACAAAAATTCTTACTACCGACAATCAAGTAAAGCAGTGAGCTTAATACTTATTTGTTATTAATGACTATTTAAGTACGAGCAATCATAGCATGATTTTAAAATCGTTTTCGAATGAAATAATAAATGTTAAAATAATTAGTTAAACTACAAATGCAATCACTAATTTCCACACAAAATCACTGGTTTCTGACAAAGTTTTGTTTTATAAAATTTTAAAACTTTTTTTGGAATTACAGCATATGTTGAAAAAGT